TTTTTTCGTAATCGTTGCGTGGGTTACGAATAATTTACTATACGAAAGTAAGTATTAAAATATCCGATACGTGCATTATCATACAAACGATAATAGCATTGACGATCGAAATTTCTTTGATGAATTAAGCAGGGAGCATATTTTAAAAGGTTTTTTTCTTATAAGGTTATAATTATGCAAATTTAAAACATTGTTATGATGCATATATAAATTTATAAAAAATGAGATTTCTACCTTTACACACACGATCTTTGATATGGAAAAATTTATCATTTTTATTTTTAAAGTTTTAAAAAAATAAAAAGTCATCGAAATGTATCATCCGTAATCCTTTTTTTTTTGTTTTTTTCTTTCTTCNAATTTGTATACATAACACTGAACATTTTAGAAATTTCCCGAATCGACAATAGGTAAATATTTAGGACAACAAGTGGATAACAGAGGTAGATAAATTGTTCTAGTTTTAGACATTGATCTTGATAACAATTGTTAGCAAACATTGTTAGCAACATGTTGTTGATAACAATTGTTAAATTGTTAGCAAGATCAATGTCTAAAACTAGAACAATTTATCTACCTCTGTTATCCACTTGTTGTCCTAAATATTTACCTATTGTCGATTCGGGAAATTTCTAAAATGTTCAGTGTTATGTATAAAAATTGCAAACGAAAATGAGATATAATAAAAAAGACAAAAACCTCGGATAACTCCATGAATCTATTTGATCACGAAAAACTAAATGAAAAAAAAGTTGTAATGTGGCCATAGCGTTTCATTATAAAACAATAACATCTTTGTTCTAAGTTTTGCTACGTTCTATTTTCTACAAAATTGTTATTCGAATTTAGAATTACGTATGTGAATCTTTACTATAAATGTATGATTTGGATATTATTATTCTATAACTATATTCGTATATAACTATATATCTATATCTATATCAATGTCTATATCTATATCAATATCTATATCTGTATAGGCAAGTATTAACATTCATAATGGGTAACTTTGACATCGATCTTGCTAACAAGGCAAGTATTAACATTTAATGGGTAATCTACGGTCAGGGATTATTCCCTTTTAAGGAGGAAAAAAGATAAAAATATGATACGAAATACCGAAAAAAAAAATTAATGAAAAAATTGAATAAATAATCATTTTTTTTTTTTTGACATAGTTAACCAATGCCAAGACGTTCCTTGTCCCCATGTTTCATTTTCAGCAATAACGACTTGATGTTGGTTCTGTAAAAATTACATTTCAACCGTTAATTTCAATATACAGAGAGAAAGGTGAGTTAAATAATAGAGCATAATTGCACGATCGCATTTATTAGAACGTAGAAAAATGTCTCCGGACTCGGATGAACATATTCGCGTTGACGTTTACAATATGCAGACCGTGAATCTGTCGCTCGGTTAGTATTCAGAGTTTTTATTTAACAATCACTTTTCTGCAAACACTTTTTCATATTAATATATTTAATTTAAGGTCAAATTAAGTTATAAACAATAATAACGGAGCAAAAATACTATTATGCTCTATTATTTAACTCATTTTTCTCTCTGTATATTGAAATTAACGGTTTCGCTGAAAATGAAATATGGGGACAAGGAATGTGTTGGCGTTGGTCAACTATGTCCAAAAAAAAAAAAAGTTTATTTATTTAATTTTTTCATTAGGTTTTTTTTTGGCATTTCGTATCATATTTTTATCTTTTTTTTTCCACTGTAGATTACCCATTAAATGTTAATACTTGTCTTGAGGCAATTCGCAAAATTGTATTATTTTCACCAGTGTAAACCAGAATGCTCCTTTAAGGTCAATTTAGTAAAAATAAATTCGGTACTTTTTATGTTATAAACAAATAGACCCAGAGGGTCAATTATAACAGTTAGCCGGATAATTCTTTTTTTGTTCAGTAGCTGACATTGAAACGCAGATTTCAATATTCAACAACATAGACTCAACAAATAGACTCTGGGTCTATTTGTTTATAACATAAAAAGTACCGAATTTATTTGGAAGAATAGATAATATTTAAAGAAAATATCATGTAACTTTTCCTGATGTAACTTTTCCTCCATATTATAATGTATGTTAACATCAATAAAGTTTTTTTCTTCATTCCCATTGTACCATGTAACTATATTTTCATATTACAAACCTTTAAGTATATCATCGTTCATTTTTTTTCATACTTAATTTACAATTTTTATTGCTAATTAAAAAATTTTTTTTCTTTCAACGTGTATGCAACTCTCAAACGCTGAACGCATTCCTCGATTAATTACCATTACGCAATATAAGTTAAAATAAAATTAAAACGAAACAAATAGTTTTCACAAGTATAGTTTGATTTAGAATTTTATAATCACAGTTTTTTGTCATAACATAAATTGAAATTAATTAAAAATTTTTTTTAAGTGTTGACTACTTAAAGAATTAGTTGAACATGTGATTTATTTTGGCGATATTTTCTTTATCTACTACATATTAAACTCGCATTTTGTATCTGCGTGACATTAAGAAAATTATGACAAAAGGAGCGCTTTTTTTCTTATAATCAAAATTGACACATGACATTAAATGAAATACAATACTTTTGACGCGTATTTCTTGCTAGGGTATTTATAAAATAGATGATTAATAGATCATTACAACATTATTATATTATCATACACTGATTATCACATTATGTCATTATAAATATAAGCAAATGTTATATAAATCTTGCGGCTTGCGTCAAGCGCTTGACGGAGAAGATGGCCCTAGGATATTTTATGGATTTAGAGCTATAGGCTCTCACGAAGATGACTCCGTTGAAACAATTAGACTGCGAATTCATTTTTAAACTATACAGCCAAACAACAGAGATTAAAGCTCTATTTTCTTGGTTTATGTAATACTCACAAAACCAAACCCACCAGAGCCAGAACAAACACCGGAATAATATAGTATTTGATAATTTTATTCGTTTTTTTTTCGTAATCGTTGCGTGGGATACGAATAATTTACTATACGAAAGTAAGTATTAAAATATCCGATATGTGCATTATCATACAAACGATAATAGCATTGACGATCGAAATTTCTTTGATGAATTAAGCAGAGAGCATATTTTAAAAGGTTTTTTTTCTTATAAGGTTGTAATTATGCAAATTTGAAACATTGTTATGATACATATATAAATTTATAAAAAATGAGATTTCTACCTTTACACACGCGATCTTTGATATGGAAAAATTTATCATTTTTATTTTTAAAGTTTTAAAAAAATAAAAAGTCATCGAAATGTATCATCCGTAATCCTTTTTTTTTGTTTTTTTCTTTCTTCTAGCCCATCAGATATTTACGTATACTTGCATCATTTCTTTGTCAATTTATCAAGTACGAAATTGTTTTTGCTAATTAAGTGAAAGTCTATAGTATACAATTTTCGGATCAACGACAGAGGCCAACGAATTCCGAATCACAACATATTTTGCGCGAGCTGCGGGACTTACAATGATACATACTTGCTTACGATAAATTCGGTTTACAATTAAACATCTCGCGGGACAATTAACTTACACGAGATGCTGAGGGAAGGATCTCTGCGTCCTTCGATAATGACGACACATTGCTCCAATACAAATGAAAATCATGTTACATTGTATCGTAACTAAAATATTTTATCGATTCACATGCAAGGCAAATAATTATGATTATCGGGCTTCGCTGCATAAGTAGGCAGAATCAAACTAAGATATAGTCAGCGAAGAAAAGTCCAATGACGAGCTTTTTCTATGATACCAATCGTGAAAAATGTTTGCCCGCAATGGGAACTCCAAGACGCATGATAGGTGTCAGATCATTGAAGCATGTCGGGTAGTCGAGACAAAGGGGCAGACAGCTGCGCACGCGTTGAAAATTGCTGTGAGTTGCTCCAGTTAATGGCGGTGTACACCTTAGGCTCGCCCATCATAACTCATCTTTTTTCAGGCTTTTAGCTTTCGAATTAAGGACTTCGTCCTTATATCTAAAATATTATGGATGTATTCAATCTTTTGTTATTTGACTCACAAATAATACCTATGTTTAACAAAAATTAACACATCATGACATAAGTATCACTTACGTTTCACACTATTCTTCTGAAAAGTACAATAGATGTAAGGAATATCCTTAGTTTATTTGAAGTGTGCGCGTAATCAGGTCGATAAATTAGATCGTGCGCGCGCTCATTCGAATCAAATAAACCAGCTAAGCTTTCAGCTCGCTTGGATTTCGAGAGTAACCCGTGTGCAGACTCCATAATTATTGTACACCGAACGAATAAACAATGTATTTATATTGTACCGTGAGTTCGATTGGATGAGGATTAGGTTGCACCAGATCAGATGCCAATTTCTCTGCTTTGAATGTTGTTTTATAATGTTGATGATTTTTTCTCTAGGTTAGAATAATAACTGAATCGTTTCTGTGAATAACAAAGTTTAATTAATTATTATTTACATTATTTACAATTATGTACATTATTGCAATTATTACTCCTACCTGTTAATAACAAAGAAACAACATTCAAAGTTATTATTCACTACACTAAAAAAACAACCACTGTACTGAGCACTGAACTGCTCAGTAGTGGCTACCAAAGCGGATCAATACTCGACTACAGCGTTGGTTTGAGGCAAACTCTACGCTCGCACTCTATGGCGAAAAGTACTGGTGGCGCCGGACGTCAGAATTCCGAAACTTACGTCTGTCGATCCCCGTTCATAATGCGCGGAAGCAATTTTAAAATTTCTTGATATAATTGTGTTGTAAAATGGGCCCTTTAATGTTAAACATGCTTATTAAACATGCTTATTAAACATGTTTAACATTAAAGGGCCCATTTTACAACACAATTATATCAAGAAATTTTAAAAATGCTTGCGCGCATTATGAACGCGGGGATCGACAGACGTAAGTTTCGGAATTCTGACGTCCAGCGCCACCAGTACTTTTCGCCATAGAGTGCGAGCGTAGAGTTTGCCTCAAACCAACGCTGCTACTAAGTCGCTGCGTTGGCTTGTTTACTGAGTCGGCTTCAGTACTCAGAACAGTGGTCGTTTTTTCAGTGTAGGTTGTTCGACTATTGTTTTACACAATTTTATTCCACTGTATTCTATCTGTCAGCTATTATCATGCTAATTAGCATGCGTACAATTAATGGTATGCCGCATATTAAGCGATCTAATTTATCGACCTGATTACGCGCACACTTCAAATAAAGTAAGGATATTCCTTACATAGATTTTAAATTGCAGTTAATTTTCACACAATTGCTAGATTTACTAGTAGAAATGGCAAGAATTGACAACTTTTAGTATTGAATGTCTAGTCAATTGCATTATAATTATTTTCATTAAACGACAAGTCGTTGGGTTCCTGTTTAACTCTGAAAATTGCAATAAGATTATCCAATCGTGGAAATCTGTACACCTTCACTCACATAAGATAAAAAATTACCACCAGTTTTTAACACCACAACAGGTCCACTAATTTTCCTCACCCGTGAACGTTGTTTAAACTTCGGATTCGCATAGCAAATATCGTACGTATAAAGTCTCAATGATTAGTGCGACAGATTCGCGTTGTTTTTAATTTTATCATTAAAATATAAAATTTTAATTTTAATTCTTTTACTTGATTAATTTACAACTGACTTTAATTCCTTATAGTAAATTTGTCAAATTGCAAATGAAAATCGTATCCAATATTATCGCAAATCGGCCAATGAATAATCACAGTTACAAATTATAATTTTTCAAGTGCATCGTCGATTCTGTCACAATACAATTTTCTTCTAATCAATTTGATACAATAATCTGTCTCATACATTAGACATCTTACAAGACTCTTGTTTGATCTAACTGAATTATCGATAATCTTATATTTAATCAAATGTTTACACCTTTCCTCCGAGACGTCGATCAGTCTCGTATTTATACAGACAGCTCGGTCAAGGCGAACCGACGTCAGATGGCGATAAACACCGCGTATCGAGAACCCACGCGTAAAATAATGCACCGTAAATTAGAAATCGAGGGGCTAGATATCTCAAATCGTGCTCTCTCTCGATCAAGTCGGCTTGGGAAGGTCGTCGTACCTCCGCGACATCTCGACGAGCTCCTCGACGTCCTCCAGGATCCTCGCCTCGTACTCCTTGTCGCCGGCCATGATCCGCCGCACGAAGGGCAGCCTGTTCCTGAAGTAGTACTCCTCGTAGGTCGCGGGCTCGTCCATGATCTGGGCGGCGACGCGGCCCGACATCAGCACCGTCGGATGAAAGATCACGGCCGTGGCGCAGGCCGGCATCCTCTGCTCCTCGTAGCAGCGCAGTATGTCCTCGCGCTCGGGCCTCGGGCCCTCGTACCTCGTCGTGCTCAAACGCTCCAGCAGCGTCTCCGTGTACAGCTCGATCATCTTGGCCTCGTTGCGGCGTCGAAAGTCGCGCGTCGAGCAGAGATACAGCAGCTGGGCGAGATCGTGGCCGAGGGGCGCGTAGCGCAGCAGCTGATAATCCACGAGGCGGCAGTGCCTCAGGCCCGCGTCGAACATGAGATTCGACGACCAGAGATCGCCGTGGCTGACGACGTTGAGCTTGTCGCGCGACGCCCGACACATGGCGAACACCGTGTCGCCGGCGCGGCGCAGTCCGGCCTCGTCCTCGTGGCCGAAGCGCTCGCGGGCCAGTCGCACCGCCAGGTCCATGGCGTTGGCGTACCACTCGAGCGAGCGCCCGCTGCGCTTGAACTCGGTCTCCTCCAGTAGCCGGGGGAACCGATCGACGAGCGGCCGGCCGCCCAGTCGGGCCTCGAGGCGCAGCGACGAGGCGTGAAATCGCGCCAGACAGACCACGGCCGACTTCATGGCGGCGAGCTCGAACATGCGCGGCTGATTGGCGTAGCCGCGCAGTCGCAGGTCCTCGAACACGAGCACGTCGGGCTTGGCCAGGTAGCAGGTCGGGCACCAGCTCGTCGCTTCTTCTTCGTCGCCGATCAGCGCGACGTAGTCGCGGAAAAAGTCGCTCTCCTTGCGGAAGCAGCCCTTCTCCTCGATGTAGGCCGCCTGGCCGGGCAGATCGCGCGGCACCGTCTTCACGAACAGGCTCAGCTTCTCGTCGACGGCCTCGCTGCTGCTGCCACTGCTGCTGACTTTGGCCACGATCACGAGGCGAAGATGCTGGCCAAGAAAGCCGATCTTCTCCTCGGAGTAGGGCCTGAGGTAGTACTCGACGAGGCGCGCGTCCTCGCCCAGGCAGCGTCTGGCCAGCCAGGCGGCCTCGTCGCGCGTCACCACGTCCCGAAAAGCTATGTCCCGAGGACGATGGCTGGCGGCCCTCGGCGGCTTCGCCGGAGGCGTCGTCGGATCCATCGGACCGTGGACCGGAGTCACGGTGATGATCGGTGCTCTGCTGCCGCTGTCGCTGCTGCTGCTGCTTCTCGTAACCGTCGACATGTTCGTTCGTTCGCACGAGATCGTTTCGAGCGCGCTTATAAATCGCCGTCGTTATCTGCGCGCGGAGCTGCAATTGTAAATCACGCAATAAAATCGAGCGATACAAGTGAAGAGACGATGCAGGAAACGAAAGAGGTTAATTCTTCGGTAAAGACAGACGTCGTGGAATAGACGAGGAAGTGTGTTTGTCCTCGGATACGATAGAGAAATTTTTACGCGCTTTGGCGATTAACATACATCGCACCGTCGTCGGGACTTATCGTGCCGATCGCAATGTTTGCCTTCTTCTTATTAGACGCTATTAAACGAGAGCAGCGCATTCTACATTGGATGTGGATCAGTCGTTGACTCTTACAAATTGATTCGTATCCCTCGTGCAAATATTTGAATATAGATAGATGTCAATATAATTGGAGTTAATTCGAATCCGCGCGTTCTGGTCTATATTTATACTTATCGAATGAATAAAACATAAAAGTACGAGTTATCGTGTTTCCGATATTTTGTTTTATTACATAATTAATTGCCTTAAATCTATACTTGACATCGATACATTGTAAAAAAAAAACAACAAAAACAAAAATTACAACAATTATACGCTTATTCAATACGCAACGTGGTATTATACAAAAAAGCTCTCTCCCTCTCTTACTGTATCTACAAATCTAAAAATCTCGGTATCACAATCGTTTTACATAATGAAGAGAAAGAAGAAAAAAATCCGGGGTAAATAGAAGAAAAAATTTTTTCAGCTTCATTTATCGGCTATGCTGTTCAGCAGCTCCTTCAGCGAGTCCTCGTTGATGGTCTGAAGGGTCGACAAACTTCCCCTAGCAGTCTCATTGTCGTCGTTCATCATCGACACCTCGACCGTCGTCGTCGTCGTCGTCGTCATCATCGATGTGGCATCATTGTCCCGTTGCTGCTGCTGCAGCTCAACCACAGCCACGGCGTTGGGATGATCGGCCAAGGGCGCGAAGTAGTCGTCGCAGCAGTCTTGGCCGCTCTTGTTGTCGTTGTTGGCGATGCTGCCGGTGACCTCGGCGAGGCTCAGCGATCTCATCATCATCATCTCGCTCGAGGGCGAGGACTGCACCGCCTGCGCCTGCGTCAGGGACGACCAGACGCCGCTACGGTAATCCTCGCTGACCTTGTCCAGCTCCTTCATGAGGCTGTCGTCGGTGCTCGGCGAGTCCGGCANGAAACTTACGTCTGGCGATCCCCGTTCATAATGCGCGAAAGCAATTTTAAAATTTCTTGATATAATTGTGTTGTAAAATGGGCCCTTTAATGTTAAACATGCTTATTAAACATGTGTAACATAAAAGGGCCCATTTTACAACACAATTATATCAAGAAATTTTAAAATTACTTTCGCGCATTATGAACGGGGATCGCCAGACGTAAGTTTCAGAACTCTGACGTCCGGCGCCACCAGTACTTTTCGCCAGAGTGGAAGCGTAGAGTTTGCCTCAAACCAACGCTGCTACTAAGTCGCTGCGATGGCTTCTTTACTGAGTCGGCTTCAGTACTCAGAACAGTGGTCGTTTTTTCAGTGTAGGTCGTTCGACTATTGTTTTACACAATTTTATTCCACTGTATTCTATCTGTCAGCTATTATCATGCTAATTAGCATGCGTACAATTAATGGTATGCCGCATATCAGGCGATCTAATTTATCAACCTGATTACGCGCACACTGCAAATAAAGTAAGGATATTCCTTACATAAATTTTAAATTGCAGTTAATTTTCACACAATTGATAGATTTACTAGTAGAAATGGCAAGAATTGACAAATTTTAGTATTGAATGTCTAGTCAATTGCATTATAATTATTTTCATTTAACGACAAGTCGTTGGGTTCCTGTTTAACTTTGAAAATTGCAATAAGATTATCCAATCGTGGAAATCTGTACACCTTCATTCACATAAGATAAAAAATTACCACCAGTTTTTAACACCACAACAGGTCCACTAATTTTCCTCACCCGTGAACGTTGTTTAAACTTCGGATTCGCATAGCAAATATCGTACGTATAAAGTCTCAATGATTAGTGCGACAGGTTTGCGTTGTTTTTAATTTTATCATTAAAATATAAAATTTTAATTTTAAGTCTTTTACTTGATTAATTTACAACTGACTTTAATTCCTTATAGTAAATTTGTCAAATTGCAATTGAAAATCGTATCCAATATTATCGCAAATCGGCCAATGAATAATCACAGTTACAAATTATAATTTTTCAAGTGCATCGTTGATTCTGTCACAATACAATTTTCTTCTAATCAATTCGATACAATAATCTGTCTCATACATTAGACATCTTACAAGACTCTTGTTTGATCTAACTGAATTATCGATAATCTTATATTTAATCAAATGTTTACACCTTTCCTCCGAGACATCGATCAGTCTCGTATTTATACAGACAGCTTGGTCAAGGCGAGCCGACGTCAGATGGCGATAAACACCGCGTATCGAGAACCCACGCGTAAAATAATGAAGTTCGTTACGATACTCATGAAAAATGCATCGTAAATTAGAAATCGAGGGGCTAGATATCTCAAATCGTGCTCTCTCTCGATCAAGTCGGCTTGGGAAGTTCGTCGTACCTCCGCGACATCTCGACGAGCTCCTCGACGTCCTCCAGGATCCTCGCCTCGTACTCCTTGTCGTCGGCCATGATCCGCCGCACGAAGGGCAGCCTGTTCCTGAAGTAGTACTCCTCGTAGGTCGCGGGCTCGTCCATGATCCGGGCGGCGACGCGGCCCGACATCAGCACCGTCGGATGAAAGATCACGGCCGTGGCGCAGGCCGGCATCCTCTGCTCCTCGTAGCAGCGCAGTATGTCCTCTGGCAAGGGCCTCGGGCCCTCGTACCTCCTCGATCTCAAACGCTCTAGCAGCGTCTCCGTGTACAGCTCGATCATCTTGGCCTCGTTGCGGCGTCGAAAGTCGCGCGTCGAGCAGAGATACAGCAGCTGGGCGAGATCGTGGCCGAGGGGCGCGTAGCGCAGCAGCTGGAAGTCCACGAGGCGGCGAGCTCGAACATGCGCGGCTGATTGGCGTAGCCGCGCAGTCGCGGGTCCTCGAACACGAGCACGTCGGGCTTGGCCAGGTAGCAGGTCGGGCACCAGCTCGTCGTGTCTTCTTCTTCGCCGATCAGCGCGACGTAGTCGCGGAAAAAGTCGCTCTCCTTGCGGAAGCAGCCCTTCTCCTCGATGTAGGCCGCCTGTCCGGGCAGATCGCGTGGCACCGTCTTCACGAACAGGCTCAGCTTCTCGTCGACGGCCTCGCTGCTGCTGCCACTGCTGCTGACTTTGGCCGCCACGATCACGAGGCGCAGATGCTGGCCCAGAAAGCCGATCTTCTCCTCGGAGTAGGGCCTGAGGTAGTACTCGACGAGGCGCGCGTCCTCGCCCAGGCAGCGTCTGGCCAGCCAGGCGGCCTCGTCGCGCGTCACCACGTCCCGAAAAGCGATGCCCCGAGGATGATGGCCGGCGGCCCTCGGCGGCTTCGCCGGAGGCGTCGTCGGATCCATCGGATCGTGGACCGGAGTCACGGTGATGATCGGTGCTCTGCTGCTTCTCGTAGCCGTCGACATGTTCGTTCGTTCGCACGAGATCGTTTCGGGCGCGCTTATAAATCGCCGTCGCTATCTGCGCGCGGAGCTGCAATTGTAAATCACGCAATAAAATCGAGCGATACAAGTGGAGAGACGATGTAGGAAACGAAAGAGGTTAATTCTTCGGCAAAGACAGACGAGGAAGTTTGTTTGTCCTCGGATACGATAGAGAAATTTTTACGCGCTTCGGCGATTAACATATGTATATCGCACCGTCGTCGGGACTTATCGTGCCGATCGCAATGTTTGCCTAATTCTTCTTATTAGACGCTATTAAACGAGAGCAGCGCATTCTACATTGGATGTGGATCAGTCGTTGACTCTTACAAATTGATTCGTATCCCTCGTGCAAATATTTGAATATAGATAGATGTCAATATAATTGGAGTTAATTCGAATCCGCGCGTTCTGGTCTATATTAATACTTATCGAATGGATAAAACATAAAAGTACGAGTTATCGTGTTTCCAATATTTTGTTTTATTACACAATTAATTGCCTTAAATCTATACTTGACATCGATACATCGTAAAAAAAAAACAACAAAAACGAAAATTACAACAATTATACGCTTATTCAATACGCAACGTGGTATATTATACAAAAAAGCTCTCTCCCTCTCTGCCTGTATCTACAAATCTAAAAATCTCGGTATCACAATCGTTTACAATGAAGAGAAAGAAGAAGAAAAAAATCGGGGTAAATAGAAGAAAAAGCCAATTTTTTCAGCTTCATTTATCGGCTATACTGTTCAGCAGCTCCTTCAGCGAGTCCTCGTTGATGGTCTGAAGGGTCGACAAACTTCCCCTCGCAGTCTCATTGTCGTCGTTCATCATCGACACCTCGACCGTCGTCGTCGTCGTCGTCATCGATGTGTCATCATTGTCCCGTTGCTGCTGCTGCAGCTCAACCACAGCCACGGCGTTGGGATGATCGGCCAAGGGCGCGAAGTAGTCGTCGCAGCAGTCTTGGCCGCTGCTCTTGTTGTCGTTGTTGGCGATGCTGCCGGTGACCTCGGCGAGGCTCAGCGATCTCATCATCATCATCTCGCTCGAGGGCGAGGACTGCACCGCCTGCGCCTGCGTCAGGGACGACCAGACGCCGCTACGGTAATCCTCGCTGACCTTGTCCAGCTCCTTCATGAGGCTGTCGTCGGTGCTCGGCGAGTCCGGCATCTTCTTGCCGGGCCAGACTGTCGTCGTCGTCGTCGTCTGCTGTTTGTCGTTTATCACAGCAAGTATCGTTATCTCGTTGGTGTCGTTATGTCGTGGTGGTGGCCCAGCACAGATTGGCGAAATCGTCGTTGGAGCGACTGCTGCTGCCACCGCCGCCGTCCACGAGCATCATCGAGCGATTGTTCGGCTGCTGCTGGTGCAACGTCGAGCTGCCGTCCTCGTTCTCGATCTCGGCCTCGAGTTTTCGTTTCAGCGCCTGCTCCTTGCCTCCGCTGGCTAAGAGCAAGAAATTACTGCTACTGCTGCTGTTGCTGTTGTTGTTGTTGGGATTGACGTCCGGATAAACGGTCGCGTTGTCGCTTTCCAATTGAAAAGTCGCCGTCGCAGCAGCTCGAGCCGAGGAATCGGCATTGCTACTGCCACTGGCGGTGGCTGTGCTGTTGCTCGAAGGTACGCACTTGTGCGTGCGTTGGCTGACCTGTTCGATCAAAAAAAAAAAAAAAAAAGAAAAAAAATGAAGTCAACTATTTTTCGTTTCATTTTTCTTCGTTGTATACGTACCTTGTATCTGAACTTTTTGCCACAAATCGTGCACTCGTAAGGCATGACACCCGTGTGTATCCTCCTGTGCACCAAGTACGAGACCCTCTGCCTGAAGCATTTACCTATAATGCAGATTTTCAATAATTCATCCATCTTATATACCGATTGATATACATACAGTGAGAAAATTGTTGTTAGAAAAATAATTAAAATGAAAAAATTCTCGTACAAATCACTATGAAAATAATTGTACTATGAAAAAATGTGTATTAGGAGGTAATATTTTTTGTAACTTTACAAATAATTTTACTATGGGACATAGTAACATTTAATGTAATGAAAAATTATCCTATATTAATTTTGATGGGCAAGAAATTATTTCAATACGATCTTGGTGTTAAAAAATGTATTAAATTACAACGTTTCGAGCCAAGTTCCATCTCCTCTTCAGGTAAGCGCTATAAAAATTACAAAGATTTCTCATGTAAGACACCAGTGAAAAGAAATGTTGCAAGAAGTTTTTTAACGCCAAAATCGTGTTGAAATAATTTCTTGCCCATCAGAATCAATATAGGATAATTTTTCATTACATTAAACTCACAGTTGGGCAAGCTAGGATAGTTATTCATCTACATAACGTAGTAACGTAAGTTACTAAGTAACGTAGTTTGAGAAAAGAGATTCGTTTAGGCACGCGCGATGAAATGTTAGATTTATCACTTGTTGACAAGACAAGCTTTCGTTCACCTATTGAGCTGCCTAAAAGAAAAAGTGTACATCCTTGTTAATCTCAGCTTAGCTAGAGAAAAGGGTGTCGTTTAAGTACGCGCAATGACATGTTAAATTTTTTTCTTGTTGACAAGCTAAGCTTTTGTTCACCTATTGAGCTGCCTAAAAAAAAAGTGTACATCCTTGTTAATCTCAGCTTAGCTAGAGAAAATGGTGTCGTTTAAGTACGCGCGATGACATGTGACATCTCAACTTAGCTAAAGAAAAAGGTGTCGTTTAAGTACGCGCGATGACATGTTAAATTTTTCACTTGTTGACAAGCAAGGCTTTTGTTCACCGATTGAACTGCCTAAAAGAAAAAGTGTACATCCTTGTTAATCTCAACTTAGCTAGAGAAAAAGGTGTCGTTTGAGTACGCGCGATGACATATTATTTTTCACTTGTTGACAAGCTAAGCGTTTGTTCACCTATTGAGCTGCCTAAAAAAAAAAGTGTACATCCTTGTTAATCTCAGCTTAGCTAGAGAAAAGGGTGTCGTTTAAGTACGCGCGATGACATGTGACATCTCAACTTAGCTAAAGAAAAAGGTGTCGTTTAAGTACGCGCGATGACATGTTAAATTTTTCACTTGTTGACAAGCAAGGCTTTTGTTCACCGATTGAGCTGCCTAAAAGAAAAAGTGTACATCCTTGTTAATCTCAACTTAGCTAGAGAAAA